GGGGGTTTGTAATTGTCTTATCACCATCTGCCGCATCGCTCCCCTAAACATGAGCATTGATCCTCTCACTATGTGGCTGCGCTGATGGTGAATAATACGCGGCAAGTTTGTTTTCCTACAATTATTCTTCTCTTTTTTTTAGTGTGATTTCTCTCCTCTTTGTGTACTCCTTTCTCGTTACCTTTTCCAATCCTTCCTTCTACCAATGGTGGTAAAGTCTTTAATTCAATCTGTTTTCCTTTTTTAGACCCCTCTTAGACAAAAATTATCTTTCTGTTGTCTCGTAGCACTTCGTGTTTCTCCTTCCTCCCTCCCCTTGTCCCCTCCTTTCCTTCTTCTGCCACCTTAGCCCCGCGTGTTTCACCTTCTTCCCTCCCCTTATCTCCTCCCATCCTTCGTTCCCCCCCCCCTCCTCGTTTGTACCGCTTTTTACTGTAGCATGAGAGTAGCAATGATGATTCGATCCGTGATGATCAATGATAATCAAACCACCCACCTATATGATTAATGGTAGTCGACAATGATCGTAGTACTCCTTCCTCCCTCCCCTTATTTCCCCCCTTCCTTCGTTCCCTCACCTCGGCCCTTCCTGTTTCTCCTTCCTTCCTCCCTTTTTTCCTTCCTTCCAATGGCCACACCTTTTACAGCGCCTGATTTCAATTCTAGATAAAATTTAGGTACGACTCAAGTTTTTCACAGTCGTACTGTATTTCTTCTTCCTCGCTCCCCTTGTCTCCCTCCTTCTATCGCTCCCTCCTCCTCAGCACATCGTGTTGCTTCTTCCTCCCTCCCCTTTTCTCCCCCCTTCCTTGTTCTCCTACCTCTCGTCGTTTCTTTCTGTTTCGTTGGTTTCGTTTGTTCTACTTCCTTGTAGCATCAAGATTTCCCAACGCCGGCGCACCCAACTGCTAATTTTCGGCCAACTTCCGAGATCTCTCATAAACTCACTTCGATTGTCATCTGCCAGAGCCACGTGCCCGAGTAAGAAGATACTTGGCAGATCGCTTATTAACCAATTACCCTAAAGTTGGTGCCCCCCCCCCCCCCTTATCTCCCTCCTTCCTTCTTCCCCCCTCTCATTGCTTCATTTCGTTTGTCCTACTTTACTCTAGCATGAGAACACCCAATACTAGCGCATCCCAATTTCGAACTATTACAACTGTTCCTGATTCTAAACTTCCGACCGAAAACAGAGCCTCTCATCTGCCGTAGCCACGTGTCCAAATACAGGGCTACTTGCCAGGTCACCTTTAGCGTCAGAGTATCCCAAAGCCACCGCCGCTCAGTGTATTACCCCTGTACTAGGCACATAATGGATATGAGATATCGAAGATGATTGAATCCTAGTTGATGCTTCGTAGAGCTGTGGTGTATTGTGCTCTTGGTTTACCGATGCCAGAACGACGCTGGCCGGTGCTGGGACGTTTTGTCCTCTAACCTGTTTGTAGCAGGAGTATGAGGCCTGGTAGAGAGTTCTGGGGATTCGTCGAGGGAGGAAGGCAATCCAGTGGCGAAATGGGGGGGCTGCTAAGACAACCTAAGAGAGCGGGTATAGTCTTGGCAGTGAAAGCACGGCAACTATGCGTAGTGTTGGTTTAGGATGATTTTGTTTTTGGCGTCTTGCATCTGATATAGGGGAGGCCAGGAGTTGTTGATGGTTTGAGAAGCCAGGTTTTGTCGATGTAGTTCATAGTTCTCTTTAATCACTTTTTATCTGGGTCATCATCGTCGTCATCTTCATATTATCATCATCATCATCATTATCTTATAGCACCAGTAGAAAAAAAACAATATGGTTGTACTTCATGATGGACATAAACCAGAGCCATGGTCATGTGGATCCTACCGAAAAGCGGATCCAAATTTACATCTCTACCAATAGGTCAAGTGGAGTATGCACGGGTTTGTCAGTAGCAACCTTTGTTTCGTGATTCTACAACTAAAGAAAGGATCGCAAGTGTCAACAAAGTACACTTTGAAATGCTAGCACCACGACTTTCAAAGACCCTCCGTTTCGACCTCACAACACGACCGTGAATACAAATCCTAAATACCAATCAAATTTTGAACCAATAGAGAACAACTTACAGATCCTGCTTTCAAAATGCAATTAGCACGAAATATTTGATGTATTTAGCCTGAGATCATTCGAAAGGTCGTCCACATGCGCTGCCCGGATGCGGGACCCGCTCAAAGAGAACCTGCTTGCAGTTAACCATAAATTTGGTCATGCAAAGTGGACTTCAACCGATACACATAAGCAATTTTAAGCGGGCCACATCCGCTCATTAAAATGATCACCACCATCAAAATCACTAACAAAACCAACATCCAAGTTTTTTTCCCATGCACCTTCTCAACGCCTCAACAATGGCAGTGCAACCAAATACGAATTAGAACACAAACTATGGATGCTTGACTTTGGGTTGGAGCGCATACCTAGGAATAAGAATCGGGTTGACGAGCTTAGTCGGATCAATTGGGATAAGTCCGGCGAAAGAGCTAATGAGGATATACCTCCGGTGGACGCATTTCTCGATGAGAAGCAGGATGTGAAGCTCCATATCAATGCACATGTCATTGGGGTCAGCGGAATCATTGTACAAGGGCAGTCTGTTTTCCTTGCTCCTACAGGGTATGTAAAGAGTGTCGATATGATCCTCAAGGACTTCGTGGAGGAGGATCCTTGGGGAGGGAAGGAGGTTGAGTGGATGACAAAACTTGCATTGGCAGAGACCTTCCAAGTAAAAGAAGACTCACTGGCCATTGAGAGTGGAGCTTACTCACTCGACACGCACGAGAAGTATGCAGTGGATGCCAGTTTCCTCGTCAACTCGATCGTCCAAGTGCACAATGATGGAGAAGGGAGTCGAGATCCTGTTAGAGATATGGGAGAAAACGAGTTCGAGGAATGAGAGATAATTGAGGTTTTTCGCGCAGATGAATACGAAGGCGTATACCGCGAGTTGGGCTTGCTTCTCTCGTGTGAGATCAGAGAGAGAGAAACAACTAAGAAGGTACTCGAGATGAGACCTCGTTGTTTAGTCCGGGATTGACACCTTTTCATCAAAAATGAGGTTGGCAACCAGAGGAGGGTGATCTACGGCCGAAATCGTCATATAGACATTATAATCGTGCTTCATGATGGACCCACAGGCTTTCACAGAACATTCGTCGTGGCGTATGCTAAGGAGCGAGAGCTTTACTACTGGGAAGGAATGAGTGAGATACTTCGCAAATATTGTGAGTCATGTGTTCCATGTCAAATTAGGACGTCGGCTATGTACAAGGAGTTATTGCACCCAAGGATTGTACGTGATGTAGGAGCAATGGTCCGACTGGACCTATTGGCAATGCCTCAGGGTGTGGGCGGCTACAACTACATCTTCGACGCATAGGATAATTTTACGGGGTTTGTCGATGGGCGAGCTATTCGGAGCAAGACGGGCGAAACTTTGGTTTTGTGCATCTCCGAGTATTTCCTCAGATATCCTTTCGTAGTAGAATTCGTGATGGACAGAGGGTCAGAGTTCACCGGTGGAAAAGTGAGAACCTTGTTGCAGGAGTATGGCGTTCAAGCCAACTATACAACTAGGGAGCACCCGTAGGTGAACGCCCGGGTTGAGAGAGGACACACCACCATCACGAACCTACTGGCGAAATGGACAAATGACAAGGAGGACCAGTGGCCTAAGTATTTGCGCGTTGCTTTCTTCGTGGAGAATATCACGATTAAGATATCCACGAAGTACGCGCCAGCAACACTATGGTATGGACGACATGCCACGCTCCCGATAGAGAGTTTTCTAAAGATGTGGAGGAGGCAGGATATAGAGAGCACCTTGTCCTTTGAGGAATTACTGGATTTGTGGGCCAAACAAGTTGGCATCGCAGAAGAGAGGATCCAAGAAGCGGTAGATTGGGTAACGGACAGTCGGCTACGAGACAAAGAGAGGTGGAATCTCCTCCCATGCGTCAGGAATGAGTCACTGGAAATCAGAGACGTGGTGTTAATATATGACTCATCGCTAGAGAAACAGTGGTCTCGTAAGTTGGACAAGCGGTGGTTAGGCCTATATCGCATTAGATGGTGCGGGCATATGAGATCGAGGAGCTTAACGGCACGCCGTGGAGAAATGGGGTATCAGGTTCAAAACTAAAAAAGTTCAACGTGCGAGACTAAGGTGAGAGTGGCGGAAAAACACTGCGAGTTGAGATAGTATCTGATTCGTCGTTTTATTAGATGGCACTCTGCATTAGTGATATGACAGGATTGTGTATTAGTGTTTAGATGGGTCTTAATATGATTTTTAGTTCGTTAGTCAGGTGAGTCGTTTCAGGGTATGAGAGATTTGCTTGGGTCAGTAGGTATAGACATTTCATCTCTTCTCTTGTGCTTACTTTTGTTTCCTCTATCGTTCGTCCTTCTTATTTATGCAGGGTTGACTTTTCGAAGTTAGCAACTATTTGGAGGGGCGGGAGGATGGCGGGACAGGAGGATGAGCGACTAGCCACGTCTTCGATATTGGACTCTTTCGTTACGGGGGCGGACATGTATTTTCATTTTTGGACGGATTAGTTTGGCAAGTTTAGGTCATTGGGTTAGAATTCGCTCAGATGACAGAAAGGGTTAGGGGTACTGGCAGCTATGAGGAGCATGTGGCTCAGATGATGAGAATGGCATTGGATTGGAGACAGTTCGTCTGGCGGATGCTGAGATTACGGCCTCAACCCATTGATCGACAGGGTAGGCACGTGCGACTTTATGGGGCTAACCTGAATGAGTTCCTTGAGGTTTTCATCATTTTTGGGGATGGGCAGAGATGGACTGAGGCACAGAGGGTTGGGCAGGTTCGGCACTGGGTTATCCCGGAGCTTAGACATGAGGTGAGTACCATGTCACACACAGCACAGACTTGGGCGGAGCTTATAGCAGCGCGTAGAGGGGCATTCACCACTAGTAGACGACGCAGGCTGCGCAAAGAGGTTAGAGATTACATCCCGGAGCTCAGGACATGTCCGCGGACGCAACTAAAGAGGGTTGAGAGCGATGAGAGGCGATCACAATAGAGGCGGAGAAAAAGTGAGCAGTTGGGGATCCCACTCGCCTAGGATAGGCAGGCGCTCAGGACGTCAAGATCGAGGGGATGATCTAGAGGAGAGAGATCAGGTGCGAACTGTTGATATTGGGGGGATCCTCTCTACAGGTGATGTTGGGGAGGAGGTCTTACCAGTAGGATCCCAGAGGCAGGATGACTCATCTATCCCTGAGATTGGGACATCGCAAGTACCAGAAGCATATCAAGGTGAGACTGGGAGTAGAGGTTGTGATCGTGGAGGTGCGCCTGAGGCAGATGGGAGTACTCAGCCTACGCTCATACAGGATGGGGAGGAGGCTTCCCTACAGCTTGTGTTGACGACTGTTCCAGACCAGCCTACTAGGATTGATACCTCGAAGAGGGCGGTTTCCGATACTGCATCGGAGGATAGGAGGGATAGGCCTTATCGATGGAGAGACACACAGGACACGGCATTAGATCTCCCGCAAGGGGAGCTACAACTCATGATAGAGCCTGCCACGATAGGACCGATGCAGGAGCACGAGGGACCTGACCTCACCTCCAACGAAGTTGAGGAGAGTGATCCTCAGTGTCACCAAATGAACATGCATGGCCCTAATGACAGGAGGTGTATGAGAGAGGATACTTTGAGAAACGTCATTTGGCCACGGTATGAGCAGCATCAGCATGAGTTAGAGCTCAGAGCGGCATCTGAACGACCTCAGGTGAAGGTCCTAGCACACGGAGATGGAGCCCACGAGGGGCCTCAGCCTGAGCAGGTACAGGAGACGACACTGATGCATGGTGAGCTAGGGCACCGTAGGCAGAGGGTTCAGCCTCAGTCAGAGCCAGCGATGGAGGATGGTGAGAGAGGTGCGAGGGGACCCTCATCATTGGATGGATTGTCATTACTAAGCGAGAGTCGATTGGTTGCGCAGCCAACTGAGATTGAGGGTTCATTGACTGCCCAGCTATATGACATGGAGTCTCCTCGGATGCAGGTACAACAGGACGTATCCCAACCATCGGCCATAGATATAGAGACAGAGCAGGTTGAGGCCGAGGTTATGGGGTTAGGCACGGAGACTCCCACGGAGGGCATACAGACCTGGCGAGTGGAGTCGTCACCTCTAGATTTCGGGGCTACTCCTCAGCGAGATGGAGGTCAGAGGGAGACTAGCATGAGAGGCCAAGTTGAGGCAGGTCCGGAGCATACCCAGGATGCATTCATGACTCATGAGGAGGAGAGCTGGCCAGAGTTCGATAGATCACGAGCCTGTCAGGAGGGATGTGTGGCGAGCCGAGGAGATGGGACGGATACCATCGTTACATTTTCCAGGTTGGTTGGTTTTTGAGTGACTCGGCCAAGCAGCGAGACCTCACTTGCGGGAGGATCAGACCACTGGTGGGCTCATAGTATTGTATGATGACCTGAACATGTAGAGGACCTATATTGGCGGCGGCCTCGCAGCAGATCGAGAGGCGACCGAGCAGGTTAGGGATTATACGAGGAGAGTTGTCATCCGATCCTTTAAGTTGAGTCGCAACAGGCAGACGGAGCACGATACACTAAGAAAGGAGGTGAGTGACCTCCATACGTTTGTTGAGGGAAGGGAGGTTCAGACTTTAGAGGAGGCCGAGGCGGTCCTCAAGATTCATGAGAGAGAGGCGAGTGACTGGAGGGCGGTTCAGAGGATACTCACGGAGTATGAGCCACTTTTTGACGCGACGGACAGAGATAGGCTCGAGCGCAGGGTTGTCCTTGAGACTGTGCGATCATCTAAGTTGGAGAGCCAGGTGTCGACTCTTGTCAGGTTACGGCGAGAGACTGAGGAGCAGACACAGAGACTCTTCTACGAGGATGCAGCCACAACCGGATGGTAGGAGGAGGTTAGGATGAGGAGATGGACAAGAGAGGAGCCCATGCTTGAGGGTGAGCGTACGAAGGCAGAGGAGGGGCTCCAGGCGAAATTGCTATGTGAGGCCTCAGTGCGAAAGTTGGCAGGAGTGATGGAGCATGTCAGGAGACTCACGCAGACCGAGGTTGTGCAAGGAGAGGTACTTCATGATGTGGTACAGAGGATAGGTATCCTAAAGCAGGAGAACATAGGTCTGAGGGACGTGGTACGTGACCTCGTCGCTAGCGCAGAGCGGACGAGACAATCTACCTTGAGACTCAAGCAGATGGTTACTGGTCTAGAGGAGGCTCAGAGGCGTCAGGCCGCGATAGATCTGGTCGACGAGAGGGGGACTGAGGGCAGCAGATTCCTGTCGGACACGCACGCATCACTCACGAGGTAGAGCCAGTTGGAGTGAGATTGGACATCCCTCGATGAGACTCGCACATATAGGAGCCACTTGGAGCTATGAGGATGACATATGAGGAGGTTGCAGTTGCCGACAAGCTCATGCTTGAGCCACACGAGATTGAGAGGAGGAGAGAGGCAAAGGCACGTGGTTTGGAGTTGGTCCCTCTATCAGAATTGGCAGTTCAAAGGGATGCATGGCGAGAGATGGATGGTAAACACGACGAGCGAGAGACGGTCTCAGAATCACGAGATGTCATACCATAGCAGGACACGAGGGGGTCAAGTGCGGTATTGCCTACGACTCTACCATTTACACCAGCTCCAGCTTTGGGGCCGATGAACGACATAGTGCACCTCCTTTCTTCAGAGTCTGAGAGATGTGACGAGGAGGCAACGACTGAGAGGGCCTCGAGGATGTTGAGTCCTGATACGGTAGATAGAACCGTACAGGATGCGACAATCCGACTCGAGAGGGCACGAACTCAGGTTTTACCAAAACCTAAGAAAGCGAAGGTAGAGGGCATTAACACCGGTGGTATGTGCTCATGATATGACAGAGGAGTGCATGACAGAGTTGTTTGCCCCGCCTTCCAGGTTGACCTCAGGAGGCGAGTCGTGCAGTTCGATGGACAAGGGCTACTTAGGGATATGCGTGGCGCTCGTCTTCTGACAAGGCGTCACGGTGTTAAGAGAGTCGTGTATGACAAGCTAGGCCTGGAGCTGAGGAGGATGAGTGACAGATTACATGTCCACGAGACGCATGAGGTGTCAGACTATGAGATCAAAGAGAAGATCAATGAGAACGAGGTGATTGTTACGAAAGATAAGCCGTTGGGCTCGTTCCATATTATTATCTTCTACTTTGAGGGCTCCAAGGCATATACTTGTATTACCGCATGACTTGTATAATGGGAGTTTCACTCCAGGCGTCGGGTTTAGAGCCATGTACTATACATAATTGGTGATTAGACTTAACTCCCGTTTAAGTAGACTATATATATGTGATAGACTACTAGTTTTAGTAGGTTGACTTGAGTAGGGTTTCAGATATTACCTTGGGCATGAGGATCCAGGATTGGTGTCAGTTTGGTGTAAGCTTTGTGTGAGATTGGTGTGAGTCTTGTGTGAGTTTCATATGAGCTTTGTGTGAGCTTTGTGTGAATTTTGTGAGAGTGTGAGTGTGATACGAGTATGACTTTAGGGTAGGACAATGAGTTAGTGAGTGCCTTTGCGAGTTATATGGTTTTTGTTCAGGGGCACTGCTCCAATTTTTGGATAATGATACTCGATTCTTCATGATTGTTCTGAGATTCGGAGCGTATTGCGCTCTCTGCGAGGAATCTTGATTGGTAGGACTCCTAGAGAGGATACGGTCTTAACCCAGAGAGGGGTTTTGTTGATATCACACCTACGGATGTATCATACGGGACACGAGACTATTTACGATTTCCCTTTATTTTTATTTGAGTATGCCCTATCGTTGGGTTTTGATCCAAACGTGTGAGTCTCGTGTGGAAACAGAGAGTCATGAAATATTCTCACAGTGTGGACTTGTGCACACTTCCCTTGCATCTTTGATGTTTGTATCTGTTTTTCACGTGTGAGTAAGTTGTTTGATTGTTTAATAAATGGTTACTGACTTTGATTGCATGGGAATAGGCTGAACCGGAAAGGCGGCCTAATTGTTTGATGGGAGGGGGTCCGTTTTGAGAAGCCACATGTTTACGTATGTGAGATAAAAGCAAAAATTTATGACTACAGTTTGTTCTGTGAAAATAAATAAAGTTTTGATTTTTGCAGAAAACTGTTAGTGGATAACTAAGCTTGGGAAAAGATGTTCATATAATGAGGGGTTTCTTCGAAAGAGACTTATTTGTGAGGCTCTGGGGCCGCTGGTGACATATACCATGATCAAGCAAAACGACTGCAAGTATTGAAAGTTGGCTCAAGAGTATTTTGGGAGGTCTAAGCCGGGAGATAAATCGACATCGTTGGGGCAACCCCCAACGTGGGCTGTTGTCCCGCCTAACCAGGACATCGAACCCCTATCTTAGCCTGAACTTGGAGACGGAGGGGTGACCGCACCATCATCCATGGGATATAATACATATAAGCGGGCTATTATGGTTACTATTATTATTTACGACTTATTATTATTATTATTATTATTATTATTATTATTATTATTACTATCATCATATGGAAGGGCTCGATTAAGCCAAATATCGGGTCACCCCAAAGACTCTAACTAGGGCGACTGCTAGGGGGTACTTAGGTCCGAGAGTCAGAAGAGCCGCCTTAGCATTGTGTAAACGATGTAGGCAGCATCGTGGTTTAATGGCACAATGAGTTGTGGTTTGGCCCGATCAACCAAACTACGGTGGGCTGAGGGTAGGACTATAACCCACTTGTGACTAGACGCAAAGTCGGGCTGAGTTTTGATTTTAAATTGCATAGAGTGAGCTACATGCAGTACTATGTCTATTACAAGTTTGAGCTGCTCAAGGAGGTGCGCTTATATATTGTAAGCCACCTAGAGGAGTATGCTACCTATTTCGATTGCAAAGTGAGTTACCTCAAGGAGTACGCTTCGAATTTCCTTAAGCTACTCAAGATGGGTGGGCTAGTACCTGCGCTTGTTGTGTGCTGCAATTTGTCCCACTAAGAGCAGTTGTCCTGCTTAAAACCCAGGCCCGAAGATAACGGTTATTTGACAGCCCGATTCAGACGGCACCCAGCGAAAGTCAGAAGGCGTCTAGGACAAACGGAAGGGGCTGCTATTTGAACGTTGAAGATAATTTAGGGCAATATTATAAAGAAAGTATTATTGTGAATCCACAAGTTGTTAACGGGTAGCTAAAAATTCAGGAATTAAAATTATATAGTAAGAGTTTTTGGCAGTCTGAAAATCTCGAATGGTCCTGAAGTGATGAAAGGCCCAAAGACCTTGAAAACCACCTGTTCAGGCAGGCTGCATCCTGAAGTGGTGAAGTGAGAGTTTTAGGCAGTCTGAAAATCATGAATTCTCCTGAAGTGGTGAAAGGTCCGAAGATCCTAAAAACCACCTGTTTAGCCAGGCTGCATCCTGAAGTGGTGAGGATTTGGTTATCTGTCTGCTCAGTGTATGCATTCGCTTGTGTTTTCGCTCGTGCTTTCTAGTCCTTACCCAAAGCGACGGGGACGTCCTTGATAGGCGTAACACACTGATTGGATAAACCCCGTCAGTGCGTTCATCTCAGTAACCTCATTTTTTTTGGTGAAAAGTTTGAACCACATACGATTGACTTAGAGGGTGTGTGAGGCCCGCATTATTCCATGGTACAGTGAGATGACCATTAGTCATAAAAAATGTTAGGCTGGTGGAAGGCGCCAAAGCCATAAAAGTCCGGATTAAACCCCTCCCTTTTTAAGTTTTTATTTTTTGTTATATATATATATATATATATATATATATATATATATAGGATTAATTTTACTTCGCGAACCAACTCGGCCTCTGGCAAGATGCGTCGCAAAGAAGGGAAAGACCCTACCTTGTGCACACGCAGAAAGACGGTATTTGGCGACGCATGGGAAGGCGAGACGTTGGCAAACCTAGTATGGGGGAAAGTCGGGAAGTTCGGCAAAGTATGTCGTGCGCCCGACGACCAGGATACCAGATAGCTACAATCCTGGGCGCAGGCGGCGTCTTCTGACGGCCAGGAGGTTGGTCGGTAGGCCTCGGCAGAAACCTGGTTTGTGCAGGTTGGACCGATCACGGTCCCACGACTATTCATACGAAGGCACAAGCCTACCTAGCTCGACCTTCGCCCTAATTCTAATGGTTACAATACTGAACTTTCAAGCGACAGGGTTTGGGAATCGAGGCCAGCGACCTGCGACGAAGGAACGGCGAAGCACTATAAAGGAAACTGAGGGGTTGAGGGCTCAATGAGCTATCATCCTCAGTTTGTTGTCGATCTCGGCAACATGTTCAATTGGTGAAGACAAAAGGAAGTACCAGTGGACTCTCTCTCCCCTGGCTTCGTCTTCTTTGTTTAATTTTGCCATCATTATTAATAATTTTTTTTTTTTTTTTTTTTCCGATCTCGGTTCTAGTACCGGGCCGATCTTGGTTAGTACGACCTGGAGCCATCGGAACATGGACCGAGGGGTTCAGTATGTATATGGGCTGAAAGGGTTGACTTACGAAGCGGGAGAAAACAGAGCATTGGGAACCATCTCCGCGGGTAGACCATCCACCAATCACTATCTGCTGCAGGGCAGTTTTCTGCCACCCACAATCTGCAGCTGAGAGGTTGACCGTGAGCATGTCATTGGGGCTTATGAGATGCGGGACCAGCCACACTGATTCGCCGAAGTCTTGATTCTACCATTTTTTATGCTCTGTTGTCAGCGGCGTATGTAGCCGCGGGACAAGGGAATTTGCGGTCACCAGCTCATGCACCGTTATGGATGGCACCACATGACCAGCAGAAGTACCAAATCGTCACTAGGGCAGGCGGCCCAAGGCATTATGGGGAGGTCCTCAGCGGTGCACAGTTGTGCATATGGAACCTTCCCTCACTTCGGTCTTCCAAGTTCTCATTTGAATATTTACTGCTACCACCCAAAATTTGCATCGGTGCCCCTCCACCTAGCCCTAGACTGCGCTCTTCTACCTAACGGAGCGTCAGGCTGACTGATTCGGAAGGTGAGTTGTTATACACTTCTTAGTGGGTTTTGAGTTTCGCGACTACGTCTTGCTGTCTTTATCAATCGACACCCTTTTGTGGTGTCTGGGTGGGCCCACAGTTGGCACCAGCAGATATCAGGGGGGGATGCCGGAGGAGGCCTGCAACAATATCTGTCGCGCAAACCGTTCGACAAGCCTGGGCACTGGGGCAAACGACTAATGGAACCATCTGGTATCCGATTCTTTTGAAGTTCCCTCGGGGCTACCGGAGCTAAAGCAGGATGCAGTTGGGGACTGCGTCGTCTGCTACCAACAATCTATTGTGAGAGGTTTGAGAATGAGCAGGCTCGTGGGACCCAAAAACGTGGTGAACTATGCTAGGACAAGGCACAAATAGCGAATGATGGGTGCTTAGCCCAGGAAACAGTGGGATCCTAAGTGGCGGGGATCTCCTGCAGATGCACAGCCCGCTAGCCAGGATCCGATTCTGAAAGATTTGAGTGTGAGCCCGCCCATTGGGACCGAAAGATGGTGGAATGTGCCTGAGCAAAGTGTAGCTGGAGAGAACTCTGGCGGGGTCACTCTGCAGGCACATTGTTTGCCAGCCACGACCTGTTGTAAGAGGACTTGAGTGTGACTGTGCTCGCTGAAGCAAAAAAAAAAAAAAAAAAAAAAAAACACTAGACTGTGCCTGGGGAGAGGCACGTCCAGAAAGGGACTATGACAAAGGCACGCTCGGAGCTGATATGCAGATGGCTCGTCGAACCTCGGTATAGGGGCGGAGGACTAGTTGGACCTGTAGTAGAGAGGTCCCTTCAAAATTTTCCTTCAGAGTAGTGAGAGTTGTTTTGCCTTTAGCCCGCAGGGCAAGGCGTGGGTGAAGACTGAGGGTTTGGGGAAGGGGGAATCCGGATCTGCAGTTATATGGACTAGTTAGTTAGTAGAAGAGGAAATAAGAGGAACAGTGCAGGCGCGGAGGAGTCGAGAAGGAGAAAAAGAGAGAAAGAATAGGAATAAAATTGTATAACTCGACCATTTTTCTATGGATTTGGACAAGAAAAAATGCTAAGTTGGGGTTTTCGGCTATTATGAGTACGATGGCGGTGTTGGATTTAGCAGCAAGATGCTACTTCTTGTGATATAAGCACTAGGAGCTGCGCGAAGACGTAGAGTTCTATGATGTTCTAAAAGTTGAATGTATTTTTTCACTTTTTTGCGAGAGATTCATTTTTATTTTTTTTTCTCACTTTACATGAATGGTAAGGAGACTTACCCGTTGGAAGGTGCGTTGCACAGCCGGGCGATGGAGGT